GTTTTAAGGGTTTTAGGGTTTTTAAGGGTTTTAGGGTTTAAGGGTTTTAGGGTTTTTAGGGCTTTAGGGCTTTAGTAATTTCGTAGAGGGCTTCGGGCTTTAGGGCTTTAGTAATTTCCTTCAGGGTTTGGGGCTTTAGGGATTTAGGGTTTGGGGGTGCCGAAGAGTTCTAAAGGCGGAGGCCCTTGGGGCCTGGCAGGCGACGGAGAGCCCTGGAGAGAGAGCGAGAGTTTGGGGTATTATTATTATTGATTATTATGATTATGATTATGATGATGATGATTATTATTTTTATTATTGTTATTATTATTGTTATTAATATTGGTTTAGGGTTTTAGGGTTTAGGGTTTGGGGGTTCTTCATGGTTTAGGGCTTCGAGTTTATTCAGCGAAGGGGAGTTGCCTGGTTCACGGGTTGCTACAAGTGGTATTACAAGTCCTATTAAAACTTGTCATCACCCTTTTTCATACCTATGAACCTCCAAGTATCTTGTGTTGATTTGCAGCACTGGGGTCGGGGTCGGAATTTAGCTTCGGAAGCCGAGAAGCGCGCTGGGGCTGTACCGCGTTCGTCGGGCTTTGGGTTTTGGGTCTCGGGTTTGAGGTTGCGGGTTCAGAGCTTTCGGGGTTTAGGCTTGGATTCGCGATGCTGGGACGGGAACGGGCTGCAGCCGCGTCACGTAAGAGTAGGTGTGGCAAGACCTGCAGACGGCAGACAGTGTAACACGACAAGTCCTGTCAAGGAATCCCGAAATCTACAGTACCTCTAGGGCGCCGCATGGCATGGATGAGGGTTCTGGGTTTAGGATTTCGTGTTTACGGTTTCGGGGTTTATGGTCCTGGGTTTAGGGTTTAGGGTTGAAGACTGAAGAGATTGAAGGGTCTACGGTCCAGGGCTTGGGGTCATGCTGCAGCGATTTAGGGTTTTGCCAAGGCCCGCTTCAGCAACCACCTGTCCCTCAAAAAGACAAGAAGGTCGGTTTTCTTTCAGGTAGGGTTTTCTTGTAATGAGGACCTTGCGAACAGCCACTGTATTCCTTTTTAGTTAGCCCCGAAATCCGAGAAGTGATAAGTGTTAGTTAGTTTTTTATTACAACATGCAACCAGAACCCTAGGCTACATATCGAGGATGACGTATGATCCAACTCTACATTCGATGGGCTTAGGTTGGCAAGTTTTAAACTAAACCCTAAATCCTATTTTGCAGTTTCTGGTTGGGGTTAAGGGGCTAAGTTCCTGAAAGCTAAACATTTTTGAGATCGAAACCCGACAGGCAGAAAGCCTCGACCCTAATAGAACCCTGGTTGAGCGCTTCGCTTGAAGGCACTAGATAGCCTAACTAAGAGGCAGATGTAGGTAGTTACCAGGTGCAAGTAGTTGAACCCTAGGCCCCAAACCCCTAAACCCTAAACTCGAAACCCTAAACCCTAGACTTTCATCCTGTCCTTCTTGGGGACAGGATGGCCCATACAAGGGCAAAGGGGGCGGCAAAGGCTCGGCGCGCGCAAGCTGGGTTGCTTTCAACTTAGGGGCAATTACAGGGCTTAGGGCTTAAAATCGAGGTTTCAGGTTCAGACAATTCTAGGGACAAGGGCTTGGTAGGGCTTTGAAGAAAGGTCACGGCTTCAGGGTTTGAGGCTTCAGCTTCGGCGATGGGGGAGAAGGCCGTACTCAGCAGCTACAGGGGGCTTGAGGTCTCGGTTCAAAGGGATTGGGGAAGGCGTAGAAGGTGAAAGAAGGGGTGTGGGGAAATGGGGACAGGGTGCTCTATGGGCGGAATAGTTAGCACCTACGTCACTAACGTTACTCTGTAGTCTTTTGTTTGGATTTGCTCCATTGCACTATCACTATCACCCAATTCTGGTCATTAAGTTTAGCTGTTTCGTTTCGGAAAAGGAAGTCATCTTGAAGTGGGTCGGGTGCAGAGGTTGCGAGACTGCGACGAAGTCGAAGGCGTTCAACACGGCTCTACTGATTGCTATTCCGTTTCAACCTAAGCTCTAAACCCCTGGCTCTTGTAGTATCCACGTGAGCTGAATGGCTAAGATCCCCGGGTATCGCACCGTTCTTATTTTGGGGGTTCGGAGGCTAACAGAGGCACCCCCGGCTTTGAACTAGTGGGATGGTTCCGGGGCACTCCTCGGCCTGCTTGGTATGTCAGGTGAAAATGTGCCCAAGCCCTGCAACCTCAGAAGGATCCTACTTCGAAGGATTAAAATTTAAAGGCTCAGCATGACTGCATGACTGAACCTTCTATAGAGGCCCGAATAAATACTTCGATGAGTTTATAGGGTTGCTTATTTTAGTTGTATTGTAGTATGCCCCAAACTGTTCTACTTGATAGGGCCCCATGTTAAGCAACGCCAACTGGTGGCTCAAGAAGAAGTCGGGGTGGCGCGGCACCGCGGCGCCAGTTAGCTGGCCACGAAGCTGCAGTTCAGGCTTCAGGGGTTTAGGAGGTTTCAATCTTTGTGGCCGCCTGGTCAGTTTTTCCTGGTCGTCACCAACATGATACAAGTCATCCAAGGAGAGTCGAGTTCGATGAGAATGCAGTAGTGGTTACTCTGGGGAGTAGCAGGGTGGATGGAAGACTGGGGGTGGCAGCAAGGCAGCAAGACCTGCAGAGCCTAACAGCTCCTCAAACCCCGAACCCCAACGCCTAAACCCTCCAAACCCTGTCATGCAGGCTCGCTCCCATTTTGGCAGAGAGCCCTTAAGCCCTAAACCCTGCGCCCTTAGCAAAAAGCTGCACACCTGAAGCCTTTCAAAGCCCTAATCCCTAAACCTTAAACCGTGGAAAAAGGAGCCTTAAAGCAAAAACCTAAACCCCAAACCCTGAACCCTTGCTGCTTCAGGGAGGGCGCGGTCGCCGGCCCAGGCAGCAGCAATGGCCGAGTGGCCTTGTCGCAGAGCGGGTGGTTCTCCAAATTCGGGTCCCTTAGTAGGGCCTATTATTTAATAGTAATAAGAATAGTAATAATCATAAAAATAGTACTAATAAAAAGGGTGCCGCCTTCCTTTTTGGGATCCTAGAAAGGGACCTTACTCGTAATTTAGAGAACTGCCCGAGTGCAGAGCAGAGGTTCAGAGGGTTGTAGGCCCACCGACTGGGTGCACACAAGGGCTGTAGCTGTTTTCAGCAGTTCTTCAAGGGCGTGAAGTTTTAAGGGTGTTAAGTAGCGGGTTTTTGAGGGTTTTGGGGACTGGGATTCATTCGGCCAGGGCAGTGAAGGGCTTTAGAGCTCAGGAAGCAGTTCAGGCCAGGACTTTGCATTGAACATGGGGACCAAAGTAACAACATTCACTAGTCCTTAGGGTTGCAAAATGTATCTATACCGTAAGATGCCCCCAGCCCGTGTTCGAACTATTCATGCCCTCGTGTTGCATGCCATGCAGGATGAGCGGAGGTAGTAAGCAGCGTAGATTTCGGGTAGCTACACGTATAGCTACATAAAACCTCAATGTCCGTACCCATATGTCTTATGTACCCTTTGACTCTTCCAGCATCCGCACTCGAAGCGCGTTACCTCCAAGCCTAAACCTGGAACCATGAAGCCGTAAATTCCTAGATTCGGAAGGCAGTGCAAATAGGCCGACGCCGGAAGCTCGAAAGCCTTTCAAGGGCTTTCCACCCTATCAAACCCATGGACAAACTGCCTAACATAGGGGCCTTAGTAGTTAGAGCAGGGTTTTGGGGTATCTTATGCTATAACAAAATTCAAGAACCCCAAGCGGCCTAACATTTTGAGACGCTCGACCTTCCAAAGTTTTCAATATAGGCACCTGATTCAGAAACCGCGTGACTTTCTTACGGCCACCCGGGTTCTTCATTTGGGTCCTCGAAGTTTGGGGCTTGCAGCACCCAGGCTTCTCGATGCGGCTCCGACATTCAAACCCCTAAACGCTGAACCTCTCTAGCCTAAACCCTTGACCTTAACCCCTATAAACCCTAAACCCTAAACCCTGAAGCCTGAGCCTGACAGCCAAAGCTGCGAACCCCAAATCCCGAAGCCCTAGACAGCATGTTTTGATTGTAGTTGCATGCTAGTATAGGTGACTACGACCGTTGCATGGCTCAAGCAAAAAGTGCAGTGTGATTGGTGCGTTCTTGCATTATCTATTGGTCATCAGCCGTAGCCGACTCCAGCCATGCCCAGGTTGCTCCACAAATCCTGGTCAAGCCGGAATGGCGGAACACCCCGTACCTGTGAGCACTGGTATTTCCGATGTCACGATGTCAACTGAGGACGGTAACGAAGAAGTGAATCCAGATCCAGAACACGTAAGCAGGCGTGAGCCGAACGCCATCGTGGCAGCGAGTGATCCTGTTCTATCTTCTTCACGGATGTGTGCACCCCTGCGGATTCTATGTTTCGGGAAAGGATTATGATGCCTACAGCTTTACCAGGAACCAATCCTTCGCCACATTCTGTTATGCGTGTTTCTCGGGTAGGAATACCTGGACATATGGCCAAAGTTACTAGTGTGCCCTTAAGTCAACATTCTCCCTCGTACGATGTCTCTCTCAATCAACAAATGATCGATGCCAGGCGAGTGATCGTTAATCAGGACGCAACTCCTGTGGTGGCGATCGCTGCAGAAGCACGACACAGTGAAATCACCGGCCAGTTGAGCGTGGAGCATCAGGAGCAGCTCAGGTACAATGAGAGGCATTCAGAAGTGTCAAGGTGAACTTGGTCGAGCAAACGCGACATTCAGTATGCAAAGGGCTGAGATGGGTCAGGGCGAAGCAAAGTTCAACGACACTGAGTATGCGAAGCATAATGCCTCGATTGAAGCTAGCATTCATGCCAGCAATGCTATGAGGGCTACTGAAGAGATCAACGCTCAGTGTGATATCATTCGCGAAGTGGAAACTTCTGCCCGAAGAGCTGATGAAGCGAGGTCGCGTGAGGTGGCCAGCTGAAACTTTAGGGTTGAAGAATTGATGAGACAGATGCAAGCCCAGAACCAACAGACCCAATCTCTCTTGCAACAAAATGAGTTTTTTTCGGCAAAGGTTAGCGAGTATGAGGCTAAGGATGCATCTAGGCATCTAGCTATGTAGTTGACGGACCTCCTGAATTCCGTGTCACCACAACATCAGAAGTCCTCGACCCGAGGTCAAGACAGAATACCCATATGAGCGCAAACCGGGTTTCAATCCACATTGTTGTTATACACCGCAACGGAGAGAATGTCGGATGCCGGAAGGCAGTCCCACAAGATTTTGGCCCTCACGGTGGCGATGGTAACGGCCCAGGTGGAGGTGATAGTCCTGGTGGTGATGAGGGTCGCAATGAGCGTGGACGGAAATCCAAGAAAGAGAAGAAGTCCAAGAAGAAGTCCAGTAGAAGAAGAAGAAGGCGGGACCCCTCGTCTTCCCCGTCAAGCTCTACTAGCAGCTCTAGCTCCTCTAGCTCATCGTCATCGCGCATGGACAAGAAATCTAGGAAGAAGCTTCTTCGGCGCATGGCGGAAGCCGTTGCCGAGCAGAACGATTTGGCCAGGGAGTACGAGGATGTGATTTGGCGCAGAATTGTGGGTTTGGACGCCGATGAGCCCATGGTTGAACGTTTGCGGGAGATTATTGCCGCCAGACTTGCCCGACGCGAACACCAACTACGCTAGCTCGAGACTCGTCTTGTCGAGACTGTGGCTTCAATGGGTAGAAGTTCTTCGGCACGTTCCTCTACTCGCTCCTTGCTTTATGGTGATAGTCTACGCCCTGGTCGGTTGCCGTCCGTTAACACCCTCCGCAGCCGACTAACGCCTGCTGGTGATGAGCATCCTGCCTTTGCTCGTGAACATCCGCGGGGAGACTTACCGGGCTTGTTGGTCCTGCTCGCCGTCGTGATGAACCTGCGGATGTACCTGATGCTGATGTGGTGGAACCTGTCCGTCGTCCTCGTCCTGTCCTACATCCTCGTGAAGCTGCACGTGAACCTGTTCCACCTGTTCTACCTCCGCCAGCTGATCGTCCCGCCCATGATCGAGGAGAAGTTTCCGCTGCCGGTGCTCGTGGTCCTGTTGTGGATGGGGCACGCCCCCGTCCAAGTGTGGCCCTTCACCTTCGCGAACGTGGTACACCTGACCTTCCGGGGTCGGTGCTGCTTCACGGAAAGGGGCGCCGGTACAATTTAAACAAACCCTAAGCCTTAAATCCCTAAACCCGAAACCCTAAGACCTAAAACTTTAAGCCTTCACCCCCAAAGCCCTGAACTTTCTGAGGAAGTCAGTGCTGATGTCCGGCTTCGGCGTGACTGTGGAGGAGCCGAGCCATGCCGGGCCCGGGAGCACTCCATTTCTGGGGTAGCATTTTGGGGTTTGGCGCTTTTTGGGCTTTCGTGTTTTAAGGCGAGAAAAGGGGGGTTTTAGGTCGAAGTCCCGGGCTCTTGTAGCTGTGTTTTCGTTTGGATCTATACGAGTCGGAAGCCCAAGCTCTTACCCAAGACCCCGACAGTCCAGAATCCGAAAACCCCTCAACCCTGAAGCCTGAAACCCTAAAACCCAAACCCCTAAACCCTAAACCCTCGGTTTCTTCATCCGACGCCCTCTTCTGAGCCAGGAGAAGCCGGCGAAGCCCGTCGACACCACGCCGAAGATGACCTCAGAGGCGGAGGATGGCGGTTTTTTTTTGAGAAGTCGATGGTCGCGGTTAAGAGTTTAGGGTTTAGGGTGTGGGTTTAGAGTCCATGGTTTTGGGTTTAGGGTTCATGGGTTAGGGTTTAAGGTATTAAGGTTTAGGTTTTAGGGCTTAGGGCTGCGAGGGACTTGGCGGGCGAGCTCAGTTCAAGCCTGTGGAAAAAAGGGCTTAGGGGTTACGGGTTAAGGTTTAGGGTTTAGGGATTTGGGTCTAGGGGCCAGGCTTGAAGGCTTTCGTGGGTGTTTATATGGCTTTTGGGCTTTCTAAGGCCTTCGAACACAGAAGCCTGAGCTTAATACTAGTCGTTGGGGCTCCTCAGGACAACTGTTTTAGTACATGCACCCACGACTCCTATTCTAATGTTGAAGAACGAAAGCAGGGTTTTTGGGGTCTTATGGCTCTTGGGCTCTTGGGGTTGTTGAGCGGATTAGCGACTAAAGATTTAGGGTGTGGGGGTTTTGGGGTTGAAAGCATGTGGTTTACTGTTTGAGGTTTAGGTTTTGCCGGTGAACAGCAACACGCAGCTATCAAGCGGAACGTTTCATGGCGGCTGTTCAGTTTTGCCGGCAGGAGCTGATGAAGAGCGTTGCGGACCTCCTCAAGAAGAAGAGGCTGTGAGAACTCAATGGGTTCGGGGTTCAGGACTTTTGGCCAACCTCCCCAGACTAAGCCTAAGGACCACGAAATCGTAGACCAGCGAACAGCTAGGCAGCCAAACGGCTAGAACAAACAAGTCCACCAAAGCAGGCATGAATAGAATACCCGAGCCTTGGGGCTGCATGAGGAGCGTATTTGACTCTCCAACATCTTAAGGGTTCAGTGTTCTGTTTCAATCCTCGACAGGTATGTTGTAGCCGAGCACCAGTTCTTAAACGGCCCCCCAAACCCAGAACATAGTATTATAACACTTGATAGAGCCCGTCTGAAACCCCCTTCACACGCGCATAAAACTTTACAGACCCCTTGAAAGGAGTACTGTCAGAGTTTCGCGACCAGTTTTGGCCCGTCGCGGGCTTCTCCGCAGAACCTTAGCTCCATGCTCTGATCCCGAAACGCTTAATTAACTTGCCGTAATCCCCAGAAAAAAAAGGGATCCCCGTGGTAACCCTAAACCCTAAAGCCCCCCGTGGTAACCTTAGGTGTCTTCCTTTGCTCGGTTCTAACCGGCCCTGAGCCTGAAACTAGACACCCAAGGGGCTCCACCCTCAACTTTATAAAGGGCTTAGGGCTTAGGGTTCTTAGGGTTTAGGGTTTAGGGTTTAGGGTTCTTAGGGGCTTGAGCTTTCGGGTCGAAAGGCCCGAAACCTGAGCCTTGGCCCACGGAATCCTCGAGGCTTCGGGCCAGCGACCTCTTCAAGAAGATTGACTCCAGTGGCGACGGCCGCTCTGGCGCAGGTAGTAGCCGGGGGGTCATCGCATTCCCTTGGCAGTTTCTACAATGTCACGGTATCATACAACCCAGAATACTAATCTGACTGCTGAGGCCCCCATATTAGACCTGAAATTCAAAGCACAAAGCTTCGAAACACAAAGCCTCAAAATGCCGATGGTTCAGAACCACCCGAACCCTAAAGCAAAGACACCTTGTAGCCGCAGCAACTCCCGTAAAGGTTGCGTTGAACATCCCTTCTTCTCAAGCGCCATATTCAAGCTCCCTGGACCTCAAGCATGCAACTTCGCACAAGGACATCCTAATTATAGGGGCCTTAATGTTTAGAAAAGGGTTTTGTTGGTAGATTATAGTATAATCATAATAAGGGAACCCCCTCAAAACCCTGTCCGAACACCCCTAAATCCCTCCCCTAAACCCTAAACCCTAATCCCGCACCTCAGATCCCGAATGGCCCCCAAACTCGCCCGAGCTCAGGAAACGTGACTGGCGAGGAGCTCCGGGCAGGTGTGAAGGGAGGGCTTTTGGAAGGGTTTAGGGGTTTAGGGGTTTAGGGTTTTAGGGCTTTAGGGGTTTAGGGGTTTAGGGGTTTTGGGGTTCAGGGGTTAGGGAAAGGTCATGGGCCTTAAGATTTGGGAGTTTCCGAAAAAGAATAAGGGGGTACCTTATTTTGGGGTCCTTATAATAAGGATCCTGCTATGAAGGGTGCTATATTTGGGTCCCCTGTTTTTCGGAAACCCCCCATTTAAAGCAGGGCTTGGACCTTATCTTATTGTGGATCTCCCTACGAAGCCCGCACTGGGGGTCTGGAAGGAAGAAGCCCCATATGAGGGGCGGGAGAAGCGGGGAATTGCAGAACTCTCGTTTGATAGACTCCGTCCGTTGATGAGGAGCCTAGTCGGTATCGCTATCACTTTGACCCTTTCACGAAGGGGTTTGAGGAAGCTGAACTGAAGAACTGCGGAGACGCAGCAAATTAGACATGACTTCTTCAATCCGGCATTCGATATCCTTGAGGGGCCTCAGGCAGAAGACTCAAGTGGTCTATCCGCGAACTCCTAGACCCTAAGCTCCATGAATGCGAGGGGGTTTCAGGGTTTTCGGGCTTTAGGGTTCAGGCCTTTCTCTCCGCGCTTTTGTCATGTGGAGAATTGGGGGGTGTGACGGGGTGGCGCATACGGTGAGGGCGTTTTTGGTCCGGACCCGGGCCCTACCCCCTGCTTGTGCAGGAAATCACTCTCAAGCTTACACCTTTTCGGGCCTCGTTGCTACATTCCCACTTCGTTGCAGCTGCGGCCGGGTCTGGTTGGTGCTGAGGCGTTCGTGGTGTGGTGGCTGTGGGGCTTGAATTCTGGGTCCAGGTACCCTGGAAAAGCGCGGGTAAACCGCCTAAGTAGGCGGGGTTGGGGTGGGAATCGGCTCCAAAATCTCCCGAAGACCTCAAACTCCTACAGCCCTGATCCCTGAAGCTCTTGAACTTAACAGCATAAGGCCTTTTGAAGCCTTGGGACCTTGAAGGCACTCCGCTTGTTCATGCGGAAACAAAGCCGTGAACCGAAGCTAAACCCAAAAGGCCCGAAGCCCGAAACCCCGTGGGAGCCTTAAATCTCTCCTTTACGCTTAAGCCCTATACAGCCCATACAAGCCTAAAAAACCCCCCACCCCTCCTCCCTCAAACCGAAGTGTCAGGCCTCTCCGACCTGGGATTCAAGCTTTCAGACGCCGACCTTCAGTCTATCATGTGCGTGATCGCCACTTGGCCTGGGGTTTAGGGCTTATGGCTTATGGGGTTTAGGTTCACCTTGCACCAATAGTCCCAGCGTACGCGTGAGACTACCGCAGACATTGCCGGGCATGCATAAAGCAACGATAGATAAAAAAACTAGGGCAT